TATTTATTGAAGAGACTGTCTTTTTTCCACTGTATATTTTTTTCCTGTTTTGTCGAAGATTATTTGACTATAGAGTTGAGGGTCCATATCTGGACTCTCTACTCTGTTCCACTGGTCTATGTGTCTGTTTTTATGCCAGGACCATGCTGTCTTGGTGATCACAGCTTTGTAGTAAAGCTTGAAATCAGGTAACGTGATGTCCCCAGTTTTAATTTTGTTTTTCAACATTTCCTTAGCTATTCGGGGTCTCTTCTGATTCCATACAAATTTTAGGATTATTTGCTCCAGCTCTTTGAAAAATACCAGTGGAATTTTGATCGGAATGGCATTAAAATGCTCTAGGCAGTATAGACATTTTAACGATATTGCTGTTTTCCTGCTCTTTTGGCATTTTGGTAACAACAAACAATATCACTCGCTGTCTCTCTAGCAGCTAAAGCTTGTCTGAGTCCCCAACTTTATCAGGTCCCATCAGTGTTTGAGGCTGTTTTCTTAATGAAATGCTCCTAGCATTTGACAGCTTTGTTCCTTCATTGACATTTGCAGCTTTTTAAATAGATGAATATTTAATGTCATATCTAATAGGCCAGATTCCTTGAAGCAAAATCCTATTAGTTAGTGCCCACTTTTTAGAGAGTGGATGGTCACTAATTACTGTTAGAATTTATTTATAAGTTTTAATATATGGTTTTGATCATAAACTCATTTATGAATCCAATACATAGAAACCAGGAGGATTGTTCTAGATTAGTAGTCATATTCTTACATGGAAGTTACACTATAAATTAAAAATCTTTTTATCCCAAAGTAACATAATGCTATTTCTGGTGATGGACTTTCCTAATCGACTTTGTAATATAGTTTGGGCTATTTTCTTATCCCACTGCACTGAAATTTTAAGCCTAAAAGAATAAAATGTAACTCCTGAAAGCTGGTTGCACAAAAGCCAATTTCATTTCTGTGTGTTTATTTACTCAATGTCCACATCCTTAAACTGTTGGCACATTCACAGCTGGGTGGAGCAGCCCATGTGTCATTGTGCTGATGCTATGGGGTGGGATGGGTGTGGAAGGTGGGTTGGAGCACAGAGGGGTCCTTGCAAAGGGAAGTTACATAAGTGATATCATATGCAGAAGTAGTCTCTGGGGTTTAAAAATAACTGGACAGGGAGTGTCAGCCTTTCTTGGATCTGACTCTCTGATTTACTATCCTGAAAGGTCAGACCTATATTCCTGGGTGGGCTGGAGAGTCTGTTTAAATGCACCAGTTCCTAATAGCAACCCTACATAATAGCTTAAAGAGCCTGGGAATGTTTTCTTGTCTCAAGGCAGCAAGGTGCTGCATGCAAAAGCTGAACCAACATCTCAATGAGAAGCCAAAACAGGACAGATGTTTCATGCTGTGCCTCAAATGTGGTTGCTTCCAGCATGGTTTCCTTAAACGGACAGGAAACACAGAAAACAAAGAAAACAAATGCTCTTCCATAGTAGCTCCAAAGCAGATTAAAATGAGCTCTAGTGTCCCATTCTGTCCATCTTTCCCTTTACCCATCTTTTTTAGGGAACTGAATTAATGATGTGAGACAATGCCTTGTATTCATACTACCTGATGTTTTTATTTTTGTAATTTGTGAAAAATAAGCTGTCAAAGCATATTACCCTGGTGTCAGAGATTCCTTGGGGGGCCAATATCAGAATTTCATTGCCACTGAGTCCCCATCTAGCACCTGAGAAAATATATATACAGTGCAATCATAAAAGACCATGGAAGTGGTAGGAGAGTAAGGGTCAAATTTAACAAAGGTCAGAAAACAACACAAATACATATTAGATCTACCATCTGCCTATGGTGACCATGAGGCCATCAAGTATCACTTGAGATCTTCATGTCATTAGGCAGAGGCAGGTATTTCTATCACATGGCCATCAGTTGTAGTTCCGGATTAGAACCCTTAGCTTCAGTCCCTCGCTCCTTTGATGCCCTCTCCTAGTTACTATCTTTCCTTGAGTTTCCCAGATGCCTGTGGCAATCCCCCACTGCTTGCTCATTGGTATTAGCAGACAGAGCCCACCAATTCCTCTCCAGTGCCACTGCCTCTTCCTGAAGGCCTATATACCATCCAAAACCAGAAAGCTACCTCTTATCCACATAAGTGATTACTTTTAGACGCATGATCTATTCAAGCTGACTCATTCCAGAGTTCTTTCATTCACTGAGGTAGTGTTTCTCAAAGCATTTGAATCATCTGGGATGCTTGTTAAAATACAGATTCCCACTGAATCAGGCACTCACTGGGTGAGGCTGAGAGTCTGCATATGTAACAAGCTCTTTAAGCCTGCAGCTGATTCCACCTCAAGATAAAGGTGCAAAGAACTAGTTCATTTCATCCGTATATACATCCAGTTTAGGATGTCTTAGGGATGAGAATACCTTTTCACCCTCACAGCTTGGAAACCCCAGGAAAAGTCTGCTGATTTCAACAACTGGGACACCACTCGATCCTTGAGCTTGCTATAGTTTCAAAACAACTACCACTGGTGGCCTCTGCGGGGAATCCTGAGGCTGAGAACTCCACCCCTTTCATCCTTGGCTTTTACTGCCCTTTCCTATGCTCCTTTGATGAGTTTCCTTCCCACGGCTGGCACTTGCGTTCTCCTGTACTCTGGTCATTTCATTGATCTGTGCTTCCTCTTCTTCACTGCCCCTGCCCTTGCTGTACCACACCCTGTGCTCAGCCCTTCCCTCTCTCTCTGAACTTCCACCCCATGGCAAGTCCCCTTCCATCAGCCCCTGGAGCACCCCAGCCTCCGCTGAGCCCTGAATGTCTGTGGGGATGCTCTTTCTTCCTTAGTCCTCCCAAATGTTGTCTGCATTTCTCCTCACATCCATTATGTGCTGGTGGCTGCAGGTGGGGAGCAGAATTGGGAAGAGATCATCAAACGTTTTCTATAAAGGACCAAATAGTAAATATCTTTGTGGGCCATACAGTCTTTTATAACTAGTGAGCCAGCCAGCCACTGTAGTTCAAAAGCAACCACAGATAGTACAAGTAAACAAATGGACGTGTTTCAATTAAACTTTTTTTTATGGATCCTGACATGTGTATTTGATATAATTTTCACATGTCAGATTTCTTTGGAAAAAAATTTCCACTACTTAAAACTGTCAAAACTATTCTTAGCTTGTGGGCCATACAAAAACAGGGATTGGACTGGGTTTGGCCCATGGCTATTCTGTGTTGACTCTTGATCTAAACCAGTGCTTCTCAAACTTTAATGTACAGACATCATGAAGAATTCTGTTAAAATGCAGACTTTGATTCAGTAGATCTGGGGTTTTTGAGATCCTATCTAACAAGTTCCCAGGTGATAGAAGTGCTCCTAGTCAGGGCTCTACACTGTGAGTAGCAGGATACTACTGTCATGTGTCGAAATTTATTCTTTCTATAATACAGACATTAAAATAGTTTAATGATATAGGAAAGTATTCCTACGGTAATTCATATTCAGTAGAAAGGTTGTGTGGAAGGCCTGGCGGCTGAGAAAGCAGGCTTTAAAACCCAATAGACTCCCACTTAGCAGTTACAGGAATATGGATACACTTGTTAACTTCCCCCCAGTTTCCATTTATTTAGCTAAACCTATGCAATAATGACCTCTACCTCAGATGGCTGTTTTGGATTTGAACAGGATTATGCAGTTAGCAAGTGCTCAGTAAATCTGAGGCATTATTATTGTTAAATTTAAAAGCAAGACACGAACCTGTACCTAACGAAACAATAAGAACTTTGGGTGCTCAGGAGACCTCCTTGCTTGCTTTCTTGGAAAACATTTGTGAGGATCATGGCCATTGATTTATTCAAGAAACATTTGCTGAGCTGCTCTTCCTCCTGCCAGGTAACGTGCATTGTTGGATCTGCTAAGATGAATGAAATGTAAGCTCCCATTTGTGGGGAATTGGAAACACCAAGCCATTTCAGTGCAGAATACATGCTGTCTGCAGAGTGCTGGGAGAAAGCAGCTCTCCCACTCTGCTCTGAGGAAAGGCCAGAGGACTCCACACAGGAGACGACCTTCGGCTGGACTTCAAAGAATGATTACGGGCCTGACTGGTGCAGAAAAGAGGGAGCAGGGTAGGCAAAGGAGGTGGAGAATTCAGGGGGAATCCAGGACAACTGGACTCTAGGGATGTATGGGACAGGCGAGGGACTGGTCCTGACCAATCAGGCAGATGCAGACCTTGATGTCATAGAGGTTCGGACTGGCTGGGTATCAGCCCGAGGTAGGTCATCATCACTTTAGGGAAAACATCTTGACAAAGCCATAATACATGCCAACAGGGACTCTGTGAAAAGACAGTGCCAGAAAATCCTTGACTACTTTTGCCGGAGTCACAGAAAGACTAGGGAGCCTTTG